GGGACCCAGGGCTGGTGGGGTTACAACGGAAGGGGGGCGGGAAGGGCAGGCTGGCAGCCAGCTCAAGGGCCGGAAGCAAGGAGAGGGTCTGGATTCAAGGAGAGATTGGTGAAGGGGCAGGGATGGGGCACTGGGGTCAAAGGTCAGGGTCTCACCGCATCTAGCAGGGTCAGCTGTTCGGCCAAGTGGTCAGCGAGGAACACCAGGACATCCGTGGGGTCAGCAGGGGGGTCGCCAGGGAGGGCCAGGGGCTTAGGAAAGTCGGGGGTCTGGGGGTCCACCCGGGACCGGAGGTTGCGGATGAGGTCAGCACCGCACCCCCCAACACCCTCCCCTGCTGCATACCCTGTCCGGAGCAAGAACCTCTCAAGCCGGTCAAGCTGACCCTTGACCTCAGAGCCAAAATCCTCAGGGTGAGAGGCCAACCAGGTGGACAGGACAGAGATGGCTACCCTAAGAGAAGGGGAATCGGCCAAGGGTCAGAGGACCAGCAGTAGCATGGGCAGTGTGGACCAGGCAGAGTAGTGGGGTCACTTACCCTGTCGTCCTCTCTAGCTGGTCAGTGGGAAGGCACTCGAGGGCTTCCAGCCTAGGGCGAGGAGTGCTACTCTTGGTATCCATTCCACCCGGGAGCTCCAGGAAGCCGAGGGGTGTTCTGGTTTTAGGGGGCCCAGATTGCTCCACAAGCCTCAGTCCCTCTCAACCCTGACCTGTCAGCCACAAGCCCCAGCACAGTGGGTGTGGAAGTGAAGGCCCGGTGGGTGGCCAGGAAGGTGGCTGTGAAGTTCATGTCAGCTTCTGGCATGCAGGCATCCAGCAAGTATCTGACCAGGGCCTCCAAAGTGCCAGCTCGGAGCCGTCTCGAGGATCGTGGGGGAGGTGAAGGGGCCTGGAGGACACAGAGGCCTTCACTCACCTTCTGTGTGACCCCAATCCCGGTGTCTGGGGAGAGCCCAGACTTAGGAGCTGATCCTGCCTCCTACTGACGCGGAGGTGACAAAGGACTTGGCCTGTCACAGCAGAGTTGGACTCCAGGTCTCCAACCCAGCACTCCAGCCAGAAAGTCAGCCAGAGGAATAGAGTGAAAGGAATGAGGCCAGAAGTCGCTGGATGTGGTGTTGCACACAGGTAATGCCAGCACCCTGGAGGCTGAGGCAGGAGGATCACCATGAGTTCAAGAGGAGCCTGGGTTACATAGCAAGGCCCTGTCTCAGGAAAACCAAACAAAACAAAATACCCCACAGGCGAGAAGCCTCAGTTATGATCTCACCATAGGATCACGAGGCCGATATTGGCGGCTTGTGACAGCGAAGATGGCACCATCTTCCTCCTCATCCCAGACAGACACAGAGGCCTGGACGCAAGGAAGGGGAAGTCAGACAGACCCTCTGCCCCACTGTCCTGGGCCTCCCAACCCAGGCCCTGCGCCTCCCTCTGTGCCCCTCACCTGGGCCAACGGGGTACAGTACCAGCGAGTGCGAGGGGTGGGGGGGGCCGGCGACCCCAGGTCTCCCCGTCTGGGGCCCAGACAGCCCCCCCCAAGCCGCCTCAAGGCCCGCTGAAGTAGAGAGGGTTGCAGGGAGAGGCCGGCTGGAAGGGAGAACCCCTGCCCCTGGAGAGTCCCGAAGCCCCTTTCCCCCAGAGCTGCGCCCAGCACAGCAGAGAAGAGGGGTACAGACCGGGAAGCGAAAGAGGCTAAGAGGAGGCAGAGACCTTGCGACCGAAACGTCAGGCCCACGCCCCGCCTCCCCGCCCACACCCCGCCGGCCTGCAGGCTGGCTCCTTGCTTCCCTCAGGTGTCCTGTCCCCGGTCCCCAGGGGCGAGGCGACCACTGTCAGCCCCGAGGACCCCCCATCCCCCAGGTGGCAGCTCCAATTCCAGTACAGGAAGGGGAAGTGGGGATTGATGATGCGAGGGGGAGACTCACAGTCACGTGGCCCCGGCCCCTCCCGACCGAGCCCGAAAAACCAGCCCTGCCAGTCACCCTGCCTGCGCCCAGCGTCCGGATCCCAGAGTTCGGGGCCCCTGGGCAGCGGATCTCACTCCCGGCCCCTCCCGTGGCCCCGCGGCCCGCTCCCGGCCACTACCATTAGTCCCCCAGGAAGGCAAGTGAGGGCTGTGTACCCGGCCCGCGCGGCCGCCGCGGTCCCGGCCGGGCTTCCCGGCCTCTGCCTAGCTCCGGGCTGGGGCAAGCTGGGGGTGGGAGGGGTCACGAAATCTGAGTTTCCCTCCCCAATCCTGGAGTCCCAGGAGCCGGTTACCGTGGAAACAAACCCCTCCCCGCCAAACAAAAGCGGTCGGGGCTGGGACGCTGCCGCCCGACGACGGGAGCGAGCTCAGGGCCCTCGACCCGACCCGACCCGACCGGATTCGGAGCTGCGCGGCCAGCGCCAAAGCAGCAGAGGCGGGGAGGGTGCAGTGCGGCGCGGGGCCTGCCCGGCTCACCTCCTCCTCGTCCTCCTCGCCGTCCTCCTGCCCGGCGCCCGCCGCACGGCCGCCCGGGTCCCCGCCCGCCTCGGGGTCTCGGCTCCGGAAGCCGCTCAGTACCACGGCGCCGGGCGGGCTGGCGTCCCAGAGGAGCCGCAGCGGCCGCGGGAGCATGGCCGGCACCGTCAGCGCGCCCGAGCCATCGGGGCGCCCGGGGCGGCGGGATCGGGCTGCGGGAGCGCGGGCGCGGGTGGGCAGGGGCGGAGAGCCCGGGCGCGGGCGCTACTCTACTTGGCCTCCGGCCCCGGCCGAGTCCCCTCCCTGGCTTTTCCGCACCCCGGCTCCCGGGCCCTCCCGCCCTTTCCGCTCCCCCCCGCGTCCGCCCGCTCCGAGAGCAGGAGCCAAAAGGGGAAGGAAGTGAGGACAGGAGCCGGGGCCGCGGGCGCGGGAGCGTCGGACACGGGGGTCGGGACCCGGGGACCCTAGCCTGCCTCCTCTGCCCCCTCCCCGTACCCCGCGCTGGGGCTGTGCCGCCCATGTCGGCCACACTGAGTCAGGATCAAGATTCCAAGCCAGGCGGGCTTGGTGGCGCACGCCTGTAGTCCCCTCACCCGAGTGGCCGAGGCAAAACAATTCGAGGCCAGCCTGGACTAGACATAGTGTGACCCTGCCTCGAAATATAAAAACACACATTTTTTCAGTGTGCAGCCTCCAGGGGGAGGCAGCAACAGAGTTTGACAACACTTTCCCCAAGATCAAGGCTAACTTCCCACGGGAGGTGCTTCATGCGGCGAGGACCCCACACTGCCCGACTAGGTGACCGTTCCCGTCCCAACCCAGGAGTGCAGTGGACCACATCCAGTCCGGGTTTTCTGAGGTCCCTCGCCCCGCCCACCCACCGGGGGAGGAGGGGCAGCAGGAAGCCACTACTTCCGGCTCCGCTTGGGGGTTTCCGGGGAGCTCGGCGGAGCGCTGAGTTCGCTAGTGGCGAGGGAGAGCTGGCCGTTTGAGGTTGTCGGTCGCTAAGAGGCGCGCGAACCCAGCCTGTTTCTGATGGGACAGGACGCCCTGGCGCGTGAGAGACTGCGGTAACGAGGGGCCAGAGATGACTAGAAGACGTTGCGCGTAGGCAGGGGTAAAATGAAACACCTGGCTGGAAGTAGCGCTGGAACACAACTTTATTCGCACAGGACCAGCCCCGCCTCTCCTAAGCAGCCGCTTCCGGCCTGCGAGTACGCTCTCCGGCGGGCGCTGCCGGACCCGCACGCGGAACGTTCCGCGCAGGACGCGGGCGGGAAGGAAAACGAAAGGTTAACAGCGTCGCGCGAGATTGCTTCAATGTGGTACCCGGGAAGGGCGAGGCCGAGCCGGCCAGTTGCTCAGGGAAGCCGCGGTGCACCGAGACGAAGGGCACGGCCGGATACCAAGTGGGGCCCGAAAGGTATCCAGGGACGCGGGCGGGCACGAATGGATCCGACCCCAGAACGATTCTCCAAGCGTGGTCTCTGCCCCAAGGCTGTGGCAGGGACTACTACTTGAGATCCGGGCTTTTCCTAGCAAGGTAGAATTTGAGTTTGTGTCTAATTCTTTAAGCGCGTTCTAAGGAGCCGAGCGTGGTGGTGCACTCCTGTAATCCCAGGAGGCTGAGGCAGGAGACCTATTGCGAGTTTAATAGCAGCCTGGGCTACAGAGTGAGCTCAAGGCCAGCCTGAACTGAATGGCAAGACCCTGTCTCTAAACGACCAAAACCAGAAAACACACACACACATACGCGGTAGATTCTTCAGCAGATACACGAGACGGAAACACCGTGGCATTCCTATTGAATATAGCATGTGCTTCTTTTTCTGTTTCTTTGAGACAGTCTCACTGGCAGGATAACCCAGGGTAGCTTCCTGAGTGCTGGGACTACAGGACTGTGCCCTGAGCTGTATCACCTGCCCTTTTTAGTTTCTGAGGCAAGTTCTCAGGTTGCCCAGGCTGAGCCCCAACATTGAATTCTGCATCAGCCTCCCAGAATGCTGGGAGTACAGGCATCTGCTAACGTGTTTTCAGGTTATAGCATAATATCAGCAGTTTTAACCGGGCGTGGTGGCACATGCCTGTAATCCAAGCATTTGAGAGGATGAGGCAGGAGGATTGCCAGCCTGAACTACATAGTGAGACCCTGTTTCAAAAAAAAAGGGAAGACAGAACAATTAGAAAACCAAGAGGTTTTCTAAATACTTTCAGTAGTTAAAACCCACATAACATAGTAAAAAGTCTTTAGGATCTTGGATATTTTCTCACAAGTCCTGAGATCAAAAATTTGAGAAGCACTGCCTTAAGAGCTTTAAAAAGGTGACTGCCATAAAATGTGTCTTTTTAAAAATTTTTTCCCAGGCTCCTGAGTGGAGAGTTTGGGAGACGGGAGTGGGAGCAGATGACAGTGCTATCTGGGAAGATGCTACAGTACTTTGGGCCACAGATGTTAGTAGCTTCCAGGATCATGGCGGAGCACCTTCACTGTGTTCTCTGGAAAAGAATTAAGAAAGAAATGAGGAGTTGGCAAGTTCAGGAGATGGCCCTAACTACAGGTGGTTCATCAGGATGGGAGGAAAGGCAGCTAACTTTTTCTGCAGCCAGAGAGTGCAGAGTGCTTTATCTCCTGCATCTACTAAAAGATGGACCTCCTATTACTGTCCTAAGGATCAGGAGGCACCACCCTGCAGTGTGACGCCATGCTACTGGGATCAGTGCACCACTGCACAGGGAAGCTTGCTGTACATTCACATGGGCCAGAACTGCCTGAGTTTTTTGTTTTTGTTTTTTTTTTTAAATCCCCACACTCCAGGGAACAGATGCAGATCAGTAGCACTCAGGGCGGCCCTGTAGGACACTGCAGGATTTGACTCGTGTCTGTGTGAGTTCCAAGTCCAGTTTTCATCCCACTCATGAGGGATGAGTGGGGGCTGGAAATGAAAGAAGGTTGGGGGGGTGGAGGCCGTTACCTTCTCCTGTGGATCACAATCAGCTGGGCAGCTGTAGGGAGATTGGGGATGGGGGCCAGGAGGCTGGCTGCTTTGAGGAGGTGGAGAAGCGTCCTTCCTCCCCTCATGGTCCATAGGGCTCAACTCACCAACCCCGACAGCACTCTGATGAGTCCAAGGAGCAGAAAGGCGGACAGGAAGAGGCCCACACCGTCCTCCAGTGAGGGCCCGGAGAGGCCTGGCAGGCAGAGGGCAAGTGTGAGCTTCCTGTCGCCTTTCGGGTACTGCCAGCTCTTCAGCCCTTGGGGCTCTCACCTGCCACTTCCACTGTGACTGAGGCTCGGCGCCCCGAGGCGGGCAGACTCTGGTGGCGGACTCGACAGGCATATCTCGCCCCATGGTGCTTGGTGGTGACAGGGGCTGCCCGGAAGTGTGCAGAGAGGCTGACAGAGCCATCAGAATGGTGGTGCAGGGCCGAGAGCCACTTCTCCCCTGTGGCCTTCTGGAAGCCATCCTCCGGGCCACCCTGAAGCTCCCATTCCACCTCCAGGCCCTCCGGAGGATAGAAGTGGGACACAAGGCAGAGCAGCTCTGGGGGTGCCTCCCCAGGGGTGGCCCAAACAAGGGGAGCAGGCGTCAGGGACACATCGGGGGGTTCTGGGGAAAGAGGCAAGCCCAGAGGGTATCAGTCCATACTGTCCACAGCTAGTCCTCAGGCATTCCTAAAACTAGGGGGCGGTCTCCCCACTCACTGGTGCTGCCTAGGAATCCCCAGGGCAAAGTCTGAGTCTCAGGAACCCTACCCCCTCCCCATCCTCTCCAGCAGTTTCTCCCATATCCCCAAGACTCCAGTCCCCACTCACTGTGCACAGTGAGCTGCAGGGCCACCTGTCCTTGCAGGTATGGCAGATGCACTGTGGCCAGGTAGGTGCCCTCCTGAAACGGTCGCACTGCAGGCAGCCAGAAGGTTCCATTCCCAGTCCATGGGCCCCAAGGCTCATCGTCCCAAGTGGCAAAAGCCACGGCCCCTTCTTGGGCTGCTGGCACCTGCCCATGCAGCCCAGGCGTTGCTGCCAGGAGCAAGTGCCCTTTGCCCAGGTGCTGGCGTCGCCACTCCAGCCCAAAGGGAGGGGGGCCTGGGGCCAGGGAGGCAGCAGGCTCAGGGGTAGGAGGCGCATAGGCGAAGCTCAGGTCCAGCACGGCATCCTGTCCCAGCCGGATTCGGGGAGCAGGGGTGTGGGTGAGGACAGTAAGCACGGCTAGGAAGAGAGGCAGAAAGGGGGCATCGGGTCACTTGCCTTAGCCATCCCTCAAAACATAGCATCTCAGCCCCTCACCCCACCCTGCAAGTCACCTCTGCCCTGGGACAGCCTGGGGCAGCGTGGCTGAGGGTGCACACCCTCCCCACCCCCTTCAAGCCTGCATAGCTCTGGAAATGGATTTTGGTTTTTTGGGTCTTTTTTTGTTTCATTCCAGACAGGTCTCCCTGCTAGTTCAGGCTGGCCTCAAACTCACATAAGTCATCCTGCCTCAGCTTCCCAAATTCTAGAGTAAGAGTATGCACCACCCCACCTGACACATTTAATCCTTGCTACCCAAAGCCATTCAGTCCCTAATGCTGGGAAATACAACCTGCATATAGAAAGCACCTGGATTTACGGTGGCAATGAGGAATGTATATACCAGTGTTGTCCCCTAATTGTTGTGTTTTGAATTTTTTTCTCTTTGAAATAAAACGGATTTTTAAAAAGGTACTTGGGATGGTGCACAGGACCCAGGAAGTCTACAGAAGGGTCAGGTTTGCACCTAATCATCCACCAGACCAACTCACCCAGCGGGATCCCTCAGTGCAGCAGTGTCTCTGCCTGTGTCCTGGCCTTTGATGAATGGTCATCAACCCCCAACAGAAAGTCTCTGGCTCCTTCCTCTTATGCATTCAACAAACACTTGTTAATTCAGTCCCTACGCTGCTCAAGGAGTGATGAACAAGACAGGCAATCCCAAACCTGTAATCCCAACACTCAGGCTGAGTTAGGAGGATCCCTATGAATTCTAGGTCCTGCCTTGGCTACACAGTTAAAGGCCGATTTGAACTACAGAAGAGATCCTATATCCAAAAAACAAAACCAAGGCAGTAGAGCCCTGCCTCAACTACATAGTGATACCCTGTCTCAAAAGAGGGTGCGGGGGAGCAAGCAGGCCTCCTTCTGCAAACCAAGAAGTGAGCCCTCACCTGACAGTAGCCGTCCTGCCACTGGGATCATGGGCTCTTCTGCTTTTTGTGGTCTAAAACCACCCAGCCTATGGTATTTTGTCATGGTAGCCTGAAGACTCATACCACAACAAAAATACATTAACATACTTTGTGATTTGAACAAACCAAAATGATATTCTGTTGATACGAGCCAGTGATTTCCTTTGTTTCAGTTTTTGCTTTTGTTTTCTTTGGTACCAGGGATCAAACCCATGACCTTGCACTTGCCAGGCAGGCACTTAGGCCTCTGAGCTAAATCCCAGGCTGTTCCTTTCAGTTTTGTGAGAGGCGGGCTCCAGTTGTAGTTCAGGCAGGAATGGTCCACTGTACACCCCTAGCAGGCCTGGAGCTAACAGAGTGCAGGGGTCACAGGTGCGCACCCTTGGCTGCTTAAATCACCTCCTGGACATTGCTGTGTCAGATGTGAGAGCCCCACCCAGCGCCCCTGCAAAGCCAGAGAGAGGGTCTCCAGAGTCTAGCCTTTGAAAGCAGGTGAATTGCAGAAGGTGAGGTTCCCTTGCAACACTCAGATCCGCAAGAGGAGCAGGGAGAAAAGTTTCCGCTTTTTTGTTTTGCTTTTCTGATACCCAGTATCGCTATGTAGTATAAACCGGCCTTGAACACAGTTGTAGCCCACGGTGGCCTGGAACTCATGGTAATCCTCCTGCCCCAGCCTCCCGGATCCTGGGATTACAGGCGTGGGCGCCCATGACTAGCGAGTTCTGCTTCTGAGCCCCAGACCGCAGCACCTCCCCAGGTTCTCTAGGTCTATGCAGCAAAGTCCGCCTCTGCGGAACCCCACCCGGAGCCGCAGCAGTTTCTATTTTACCAGTAGAGACCCCGAAGACTGGCAGGGAGGGTGAATCTTAACTGGCTTTGCAGAAAGGAAACGGAAAGGACTAGAGAACTGGCTAGCCTAGGCCCACACCTGCACCCTGGCTGTCCTTCTCCACCTCCCCTTCCCAGCTACCTGTTGCCATGGTGATGAGCACAGGCTCCGGTTGGAGTTCCGCTGGCTTGCGCAGGAGACTGGAGAGGCTAAGGTCCCGGCCGCTCACGCTGACCATCAGCCACTCCCCGTCCAGGGCCCGCGGGCAGCTAGCCTCTGGGCTCAGGCTGCGGGCCCAGCTCGCAGGGGCAGGGAGCGGCACGAAGCGGCTCATCTCGCAGCGCGGCGTGGGGTCGCCCCGGAGGAGGCGGCGGAGGCCGGCGAGGAGGGCGCCCGCGGGGTCTGCGAAGGCGGAAACGCGGGGGCGCTCAGAGTCGGGGCGGGGAGGCGGCTTCAGGGAGCTTCAGCAGCACAGACGATTCGGAGGATCGGCAAGGGGGACACTGAAGCGAGGTTCACGCGCAATCGGAAGAGGAGGGGTTCGCGAGTCGCGAGAAGGCGGGTGAGTCCGAAAGACTCACCGTCCACTCCGAGGTAGAGCTTGGGGTCCAGGTCCGGCCGGGGCGGCGGCGCCCCGAGGCCCTGGCGCAGCAGCAGAGCCGCGGGTCTCTTCTCCAGGGCGCCCCCGCCCAGATCCTCCACGAACCAGCACTCGAGCGCCGCGGGTCGAGCCCAGGCAGCGGTCGCTAAGCCTGGGGAATGGGGATCCAGGATGCAGGGATCTGTAGCACATGCGAGCGCGGGAGGCCGAGCGGCCCCTCCCTGCTCCCCACACCCAGCACCCAGTTTCGGCCCCGAGGTCGCAAGGTTCGCTCACCCAAAGCCACGGCGACGAGCAAGGACAGGAGCTTCATGGCGCTGTCCTTTCCAACCCTACTCCCCGGCTCCGGGCTGCCTCTTCCCCTTTCGCTTTCGCTTTCTTCGCAGGCGGGCGGCAGGAGAAGGGGAATCCCCGCACGGGGAGGTGGGGCGCGCGGGTACATCAGCCCCGACTCGTCCTCCCGGAGCCACCACCCCCACCCTCGCAGCCTGGGGCTCCCTGAAGCCCCCTCCGCTGCACCCTCTCGCTGGGAACCGCTCTTCTGCACCTGCGCCAAGTCCCCAACAGACACAGAGGGCTGGTCGGGAAGCCAATGAAATGACCAATAAATATTTTAATCACTGTTAAAAATAATGAAAACCTGTGCTACGACTTGTGTCCGCGCGCTCCTTGGTGAGAACTAAATTGGGACTTCCAAGGGATGTGTATGGGGGAGATGTTTCAGAGACGGGGGTGCATCCTAGGAGTGGGGCTCGAAGATCCGTCCTCAAAACACGAACACAGACTCTAGGCACAGACTACAACACCCTGACCCTGGGGTACACAATACCGCCCAACCCAGGTCGCCCCGCCTACTCTGGAGCTGGGGCCTGGTTGCGCCCTCGGGTGGGGAAGACCTAGTTCCGGGGTATCTCTGGAGGAATGCGCTGCTGTAGTGCAACGCGGTTTGCTCTCCACTGCAAACGAGTCCAGAGAGATAAAGGAAGACAGCACGGTGGCGATCACTTGAGGACCCCCGAAAGCGCCCAAGTCGCCGGCCCCTTCAGTTCGCGCCGCCGCCGCCGCCGCCACTGAAGTCCATCTCCACCTTGTGGACGCCGGGCGGGGACCAGACCCGTCTGCTCGGCGGGGGTGTGGCCCCGCTCGCCTCGTCGCCGCTTCCTGGGCCCGCTCCCGAGGAGACCTCTCTCTTGGGCTGCAGCGCGGACGCGGGGAGCGCCCCGGGCCCCGGGCCAGGTCCGGTGCCCGGGCCGGCCCCGCCCCCACCCCCGCCCATGCGGTGCCGGCGCTCGCAGTGTCCCCGGTGCCGCATGAAGCTGTCTCGCCACATGAACTTCTTGGCGCAGACGCCGCACTCGTAAGGCTTGAGGCCCGTGTGCGTCTTCATGTGCTCTGTCAGGTGGTGCTTCATCTTGAACTTCTTGTTGCACACAGGGCAGTCAAAGGGGCGCAGGTTGAGGTGCATGTTCACGTGCCGGTCGCGCATGCTCTTGTGGGAGAAGGCCTTCCCGCAGTGGCACAGGAAGATCTTATTCCCGTCCCCACTACCCGTCCCGCCCGGAGCCCCGCCAGCGCTTCCCGGTGTGGCCACGCCCCCAGCAGACGTGCCCCCGACGGTCACCGCCCCGTGTTCCCCTTGGCTCCCGGGTGGCTGGCCCGGAGCCTGGGAGGAGGAGGAAGAGGAGGAGGAGGAGGAAGAGGAGGACGGGAAGACCAGGATCGGGTTGCCTTGCACCTCCACCGGGAGGAGAGGTCGTGGAGGCTGGGAGGGGGCGTAGGAGGAAGGGGTGGACCCCCCGGAGTCATCGAGCCCCGCCCCAGAGCCCCCACCCTCGTAGGGACCAAAGTCGTTGGAGGACTCACAGAAGTTGACCTGCTCCTCCCTCTTGTCCAGAGGCTCAGTCAGGGACCGGACATCACTGATACTGAGAGTGGCCTCAGGCCTCTCCCCTGCTGGCACCCCGGATCCACCCCCCAACTCTTCATCTTCATCATCCTCACAGGTCAACACCAAATCCTCCTCTTCCTCCTCCTCCTCTTCCAGCTCGGGATCCTGGGGAACCAGGGGTGCTGGGGCTGGGCAGTTTCCACCCCGCTTCACACAGACCCAGTGTTTCTGTGGCATGACACTGGCAGATGTGTAGGTGGGGCGCCGGAGCCCAGCCCCAGGGACCACTGTCCGCCGCCCATCGTCACACAGCTCATCTGCCTCCAGCAGCAGCTTCCCGGATGTGGCACTCCCGCTGCCAACCATGGGGGCCGGGAACACAGGGCCTCCTCCACGCCGATCCCCACTGCCCACGGCAGACGCCACAAAAGCCTCTTGGGAGGAAGAGGAGAAATCAGCAGACTCCCGGGGACTGAAATAGTTGCTGCTGCTGGGTGACTGATTCTCGCTGGCCCGGCTGGAGGTATGGGAGCGCGAGGAGCCCACGGTGGCCGGAGCCACTGTGGCCCCGCTCCCCGAGGGGACCCCAGCACTAGGAACAGCAACAGAGGTGGCGGCAGTGGCAGTGATGGTAGTGGTGGCTGAGGCGCGGCCCTCTCGGAGGAGTTCAGTGCACTTGTCCACAATGTGCCACATCTGGAGCACAGAGCCCACAGTGAGGAAGTTGACAATGTCCGCAGCAGCCATGCTGAGGCGGCCAGTGTAAGCGGAGGCCAGCACGGTCTCGAAGGCGCCTGGGTCCATGACGCTGGGCAATGAGATGGAGGTCATGCCCTTGAGCAGGACCTGATCGTGGAAGTAAGGAGAGGAGGCCGCCAGGACAGCTCGATGGGCCCGGAACTCCCGGCCTTGTACCCGGATGGACACATCACAGAGTTGGCCCTGCAGCCGCTGCTGATTAAGAGACTCCAGGAGGGCACTGGTCACCTCAGGGAAGGACACGTGGACCACTGCAGCTGCTGGCAGGGGCAGTGGGGGTGCAGCCAGTGACAGAGGCAAGGGCAGGGCTGCCCCAGTGGGCGACAGAGCAGATGGCTCCATGTTGTGGAGAGGGGACACCCCCCCCAGCCACAGGAACAGAGAGGAAGGAGGAGGGAGGCCGGGGGGGTCTCTGAGGAAAAAAAAGAGATGATGACATTTCATAAAGATGACAATGTGAAAACACCTCGCACCAGTCTTTTAAGTAACTCTCCACGATACTGGCATAGGTACATCTGCCAACCCCAGGAAAGACGAGTGAGTTAACTGGCTCAGAATGACGACGTGATTACTCAAGGTGACACAGCCACGGAGCGGAACGGTGTCACAAGCAGGTGGCCTGACCCCAAATTCAGTGCCCACCAGTTGGGAGTCCGAGAAACATCGCTCTCAGCGAGCAAGGTGACTTCCTTTGAAATTACACCCTATTTGTCATTTGCCTCAGAGCCTAATTTTTCAAAATCCACCTTTTTTGCACCCTTGCCTTAGCGAGAGAGGAGTCAAGTCTCCTACTCCGTGAAAACCAGTGGCAGCTCGGTCTCCCCGCAGGCCATGCCCCCCAGGCTCTCCCAGACCACGCCCTTTGCGCCCCAGGCGCAGCTCTAGCCCCACTCTCCCTAGGCTCCGCCCCCCAGGGCCTTTCGACCCCGCCTCTTGCCTACCCCCGCCCCACCTGCTCCGCCCCAAGCACTACCTCGGCCTCTTCTCCCACCCGGAAGGCGCCCCCCAACCCTGCGCGTCCCCGCTTACCGGGCCGCGCGCCCCCGGACCCCCCGCCCCTCACTCGGCGTCCAGAGCTGCAGCCCGGGCCCCTCCCGCCGCCATCTTGCGCCGACTCCCTCCGCCCTCCGCCTTCGCCCCGCCTCCCGGCCCTCCGACTTTAAAGGCACAGTCGGGCACCCCGCCCTTACAGCTGGGCCACATTCGGCCGACTTGATCACTTCTCCTTTAAAGAACTTTCGCCTCATCTCACCTTAAAGGCACCAGGTCCTCTCTCCCGCAGACGACCCCAGACTTGGTTTAGCCGATCCTTCATTCTCCTTTAATTCTGTAAACCTGCCTTTTCCCATTGGCTAAGGGTGCTGGCCCTCGTTCCTCAGGCCCCGCCCCTGAGCTGTGGCCATTAGCTGGTTTGGGAGAATAGCCCTTGTCCTAGCTTCTGACAATCCTCTGAAGCCCCGCCCCTCCCTCCGGGCCAGGATTGGCCAAGGAACCTAGAGCCGGCCCCTGATTGGTCCTTCCATTCCCACTGCTCAAAATGAGAAAAGTAAAGCATGTTATGACAGCTGAAGCACTTTTTCTTCCCCCAGGTGCTGGTTGAGGGCACAGGACGGCAGGCAGGGGCAAAGAGGTGTGCAAAGGAGTGTGCGTGCGAGGGCCAGGACAGAACAGACAGGTCAGAGCTAACCAGCACGTCGGCCAACCATGACCCGGAGACTGCTGCTATCATGCTGCGACAGGGGATGGCCAAGGAAAGGACGGAAATACAATTAAGAAAAGAATTTTATTGTTTTTATGTTTCTCTGCAAAACTTAAAGTTTCTGGAATTTTAAAAGAAACACCACCAAGAAGGATTAGCTCAGTCCATCCCTTCCGGAGCTGTTGGCTTCCCACTGTCCTCCAAATGCATTTCAGAAACAGGAAGTGGAGGAGGCTGCTAATCGGAGTCTGACAGCACGATGATCTCCTCTGGGTCGCACTGCGTGGCCACACTCGTCTGCGGGAGCGAGAGACAGCCGGAGGAGTCGAGGTGTCCAAATGGGGGGGAGAGGGTGAAGAGCATCCTGAAAGAGAAGCACAGGCGCCCCTTACCTTGTAGGTGCTGGATCGGGGAGGACGCTGGGGGATATGGGACAATGAAGCTGGAACAGGGCTGCAGAGGGAGCTGGTCACCAGCCCATGGCTGGGAGAGTCCACCCTGGTGGAGGAATCAGCAACTGGGGCCATGGATGCCTGCGGGGACTGCGGGCTGGGCAGCTGGTGGATCTTCTTGTCGTTGTTCCTGGGCACTAGCCTTTGCCTTTCCAAAAGGCTAAGAAAACAAATGCAAAGGCACACAAAGGGCAGACGGGGTTAGGAGCCTGAGCCCAGCATTCCCCGAGAAGAGGAGCAAGCCCTCTGCCACCACCCGCCCCCACGTGTGGTTACCTGTTTCTTAACTGTCCCGCCTCAGTCTGCTGTTCCTCCTCCTCACCCCTCCGAGACTTCTTGCAGGGGGGACTGGAATCCATCCATGTGTGAGGCGAAGTGCCTCCATTGAAGGACGTGGAGGTGACCGTGGCTGCCCCATTCTCCAGGACCATGGGAAGAGGATTTTCCAGCTGCTTCAGAGAAGAGGAAACGTTGCTTTCCTCTGGAGAAGGGCTGGTGTCCATGGGGAAGGCCTCGATCTCCAGCTCGAAAAGCTGAGACAGGGGGCTCTGTTCCTCCAGGGGCGGCTCTTCTAACTGCTCTCCGTTGCTCTCAGCATCTACGCTCGAGTGGGCCAGGGGTTCCTCCGATGCCGAGGCTGGTGACACTGAGAGTCTTTCATTTGGTGGCTCCCCTGAAGCCCTGCTGATTCTGACAGCTTCTGGGTTCTTTTCAAAGGAGACCTGTGCTGGGGAGTTGGGGCTCTTGCCTCCATCCTTAGCTGGGACAAAAGAAAGGGAAGGAGCAGCATGAAGACTAGGAAAGAAAATCCTGCTGAGAAACCAGGAGGAAGAGGAGAGAAAAAAGTCTCAAGGCCGGGCCTGGCAACCCACTCCTATAATCCCAACACCAAGACTGAGGCAGGAGGATCACTGGAGGCTCAAGCCCAGCCTCGCCACACTGAGTTCAAGGCCACTCTAAACTACCCCAGGAGTCTCTGTCTCCAAAAAACGAAGAAAAGAAGAAGTCTCAAAAGTCAGCTCACAGCCCACAGAACTAACACCCAAGGAGGATGTTCCTCTCCCATACCTGTACTCTCCTCGTTTTCTTCTTCGTCCCCTTGACCTTCCTGCAGCTGTTCTAGATCCTCCTTGTCTTCGGAATCAGTGGCATCTTCCTCTTCCTCTTCATCACTCTCCTCGTCCTCCTCATCATCATCGGTCTCAGCCTTGGAGGTAGTCGGGCACTCCTGGGATGGCATCCCACTGGGGCCCTGGGGAACAGGGGATAGGAGTTTCTCTAAGGAATCCCTTGCCACACAGAATCTGATTTTCATTTCTTCTGCACTTGCCCCCAACAGCTACCCTGGGACCCCTGGTGGCCAGTGCAGGGGGAAGACAAGGTCTCTTGCAGGGCACATCCCTTCCATACCTCACCAGAATCCAAGGAGGCTTTGGGGGAGTGGGAAGGGCCTTGGGAGACCCGGGCCCTTCTTTTCTGTCTCTCCCTCTCCTCACTTTTGTCTTGCATCACTGCATATTTGGAGATGACTTCATCCAGCCGGCTCATGGCCAAACTCCGATTTTCCTGGAGGCGCCGGGCTAACGCAGGATCTGACAGTGCCGGGTCAATGCCTATATGGAAAGATATAAAATCAGACCACTCAGCTCAAAACCAGAAAAGGGGCTACAGAGAGAGGCCCTGCCCACACCATACAAATGGCCCAAAGGGTCGCTGATCTGTACCCCACTGCCCAGTACCTGGCCTATAGTCATCTGTGAGGTGGCAGCCGAAGTTGTAGATGAGATCAAGATGGCGTCGCTCCTGTAACCTGATGCCCACATCTCGAAAGGCATCCTGAGCCATGAGCTGGAGCTGCTGTCGGGAGAGGCCGAGGTTGTGCCGGGTAGCTGCCTTCTCCACGGCCCGCAGCACATCGCCATAGTCGGGGAAGGTGTCAGGCCCAGGCTTGTTGATGAGCCGCTCAATGCGCCTGTTAACTTCAGGGTAGCGGGTTCCGCGGTAGGGGATGCGCTGCTCTATGACTCGTCCAGTCAGTGAAGAGCATTCCTTGAGCTCGCATAGGCGGCTGAACAGGCGGATCAGCTTCCGCTTCAGCCGGGCCTCCTGCAGATACGTGGAGTCTGGGTCATCCAATTCTGAGAGATCCAACTCCTTTTCCTGCAGCCGCCGGATCTCTGCCACATAGAGTGCCAGGAGCTGCTCTAGGCGCTGGATCTGCCGCTGGGAACCACGGGTCCTTGGAGCCTCAGAGGCAGCAGTTCCTGTGCTGGCAGGACCTGAGGAGGGGTCAGCAGGTGCGCTACCCCCAGATGGCTCACCAGACGCAGTAGCAGCAGGGGCCAGGTTCAGCTTCTTCTTGGCTGAGTGGGCCTTGAGAACAGTACAGAGCTCATTGATGTACACATAAAGCTTAGATGGCCGGCCTCGGGCCCGAGACAGGACCCGAGAGAGGATGTTGCAGAACTCCACGGAGGCCAGAAACACAGGATGGGCTCTCTGTTGCAGTTTAGAGAGGAATGGGACCACCTCGGGGTGGTCAGATGTCTGCATCTTACACAGTTCAAAGAACTGAAGGAGGGTCAGAGAAAAGGAGGGAGGGGAAGAAAAGGGAAGGGGTTGAGAGAAAGAAGGTAGGGTGAGTGAGTGGGGCAGATGGGTGAGGAGAGCCAGTCAGCCAGCCCCCTCCCTGGGCTACAAGAAGACTCTTCTCCCCTCGAGCTCACCTCTTCAAATAGCTTCTCATTCTCCGACTTGTAGCATTTCTTGCCGCCCGAACTAGAGCTTGCTCCAGCCCCAGGGGGCTCAGAGGAGCCAGGGGTTTCCACCCGGGGTGAGGTCGGATTGGGGGGAGGATGGGAGGAGGGCCCTGGCTGAGCGGCTGCTTCATCTTCGTCATCATCATCCAGCACAATGATGCTGCTGGCGGTGGCCATGGGGGATCAAATCCTCCAGAGGGAGGAAGTGTTGGGGGTTTCAGGATTCCTGCTAGAAGGGGATGGGGGGGCCTCAGAAAGCACCCCTCCAGGCTCAGCCACAACCCTTCAGCACTGTTTCCAATCACCTGGGCTCAAGACTGCCCAGCCCTGCCCCGTGCAGCATCAAGAGTGTCCTCGCTGCCTCTCCTCCAGGACACTTAGTTCTAGGTGCTTTTCAGGTCTCTCAAGTTCTCCCCACCCCAAGTCTCCCCCCCCCCACCCCTCACGGTGATTTCCGGTCTTTCGGTTATGTTTCTCCACTATTTCTCACGGCTGGCAAGTTGACTCTCCCTACCAATCCCAGAGCCAGCTCCCAATGTCCCCGACATCCCCTTGCGCTCACCACATCCCCCACCATGGGCGCCGCCCCGCGGGCCTGCTCCTCTGTCGCCCTCACCGCAGACTCGCACCCAGCCGGAATAATCACCCCAACTCCCGGACTCTGGGAGGCTGAAAAGGATCTCGCCCCACCAGCCGTCCTCCACCCCCCGCCTCTGAATTAGGTCCACGTCGCACCCTCGCGGGGTTCTCTCGAACCCGGGGTTCAGGCTGGAAAATTTTCACCAAGTCCCCTCCCTCTCACTCCACCCTGATTTCCCCCATTCTCTCCGGGACTGGTGGCCGCCCGAAGCCCACCACTACGTTCTCCGAGTCCCTCCTGACCCCGAAGCCGGGCCGGGCCGGTGGGGTCCAGGAGCTTCCCGCCAAATCCCCCTTCCGGCTCCGCCGCGGCCGCCCCGCTCCCCTCCAGGAATAGAAAGCTACCAAACGTGGCCCCTCACACTCAGCCCCTCGAGTCTTCCCCCAGTAGCGTACCTCTCCCTTATATCCCTGCCCTCGTCTTCGCTCCCCTCACAGTCCGGCCCCCACCTCAGAAACGGTCTCTCGAGTCGACGCTCACTGGAGAGCTTAGAACCTCGCATGGTGCCTTCCGCCTTCCTTCCCCCTCCCACTGCAGGCCCCACTACGGACCGGAAGCCAAAGAGTTTCCGCCAGTACGTACTTGAGAGGTGCCATGTTGTTGTACGGAACTCAATCTTTCTGTGGCCGGAAGTGACGGCAGGCCACCTACTCAGCCTGCAGTTCCCTACCTACTCCCGTCCCCTCCATTTTTTACTGGGCGGGGCTTATCACCCGCAGGATGACACAAAGTACTTGGGTGCCGCCATTTTCTGTACGGCATTGCCTTCGCCTGCGGCCCTCGGAGCTCTTTTCACCCGGCGCTTCCGTTTTTCTGCCAATCAGAAACTTATGGTCCGGGGCCTAACAGCCGGTCGGTCGCGTGCCGGAGGACTGCACCGCCTTCCGGAGCCCAGGAGGATGGGGAACGGGGAGTTGGTGCTCCGTGGCCTTGCGGTCCGCAGATAGGGCTGGAGAGTTTAAGAGAGGAGGGACCCCGCGCCTCGCAGCGTCGCTTTCCTGCGTTCCTGGCTAGCGTCCCCCGGGCAGCCGCTCCTCGACGCTGTCCAGCAGCTGCTGAGAGCCGGAGCGCCCCGACCCCCGAGTCCTCCGCTATTTCTTCCATCAAGGCGCTGTGAACATCACCTGTCCCATCCTATCAAATGTTCCACTTTAGCAATTTAACAATTACAGCCTCGTCGTGGCACACGCCTGTCATCTCAGCTCTCTCAGGAGGCTGAGGCAGGAGGATTGCCACCTTAGAAGGCAACCTGGGCTACAAATGAGTTCAAGGCCTGCCTGAACTACATGGCGAGACTCTTTTTTTTTTTTTTTTTTTTTTTTTTTTTAATTTGCAGGGACAAAGGACATAGCTCAGCGCGTTATAGCGCCTGCCTGGCAAACAGGTCCTGAGTTTCATTCCTGACACCAAAAAAACCCCTAACAATTATAATTTCCATAATCATATCTGTTTGATCAATTGTGTTTTCATAATTAACTGTAATGATAACTCAAAAGAATTGTTAGAGTCCTAAAATCACATGGAAGGTATTTTTCTTCTCTTTCTCCATGTAACTGCCAGGTGTGGTGGCATACCCCTCTGAGCCCAGCACTCAGGAGACTGTGCCAGGATTGCCAGAAGTTGAGGCCAGCCTGAGTTACGCAGTGAGGCCCTATCTCAAAAAAACACTATATATCCCTTCCCATCAACGCGTTCCACTCCAGAACATTGGTAACCCAGATTCATTTGTAACTCGGACAAAGTCAGTCTTACATGCTTTTGACACAAATATACAGTGTATCTTGCTTTGCTTCCTACTGTCCCTGTCACAGCTTCTGGGTACCGTTCCTGTACAGCTCTGAGCCGTGTACAGTTGTGTACTGTCGCACTGTACAGTAAGCACGCAGCAGTACAACCATAACAATGTCCAGCAGATACTTGAACTATTTCTGTGATTTGTTCCCATCTGTGTAACTCCAGGTCTGTATCTGTGAAAGTCCGAAACTCGAATGTTTAGCATGAGTATTACAGTTTGTGTCTGGAAGTCACCCCAAGGCCTCACATGGTTAGAGGTGGGGTTCTTCAGAGGTGGCTTGATGTGGAGTGTGTGGCACTGGGATCAAGTGTGAACAATCTACTAAATTAGTCCGCAGGCCAGGCACGGTGGCACATGCCTCTAGTCCCAGAACTCAGGAGGCTGAGACAGGAGGATCCCCCCAGTGGAAGTCATCTCGGACCGCAGAATGAGTTGAAGGCCAACCTGAACTATGTAGTGAGCCCCTACCTCCACAAAAAACAACCCACAAAAATTGAAAAAAAAAAAAAAAGCGGTGATGGATATCAAGTAGCTGGTATTAGTTCTGCACATTTAAGAAGATAATGTAAGGGGCTGGGCGTTTAGCTCAGCGGCATAAGCACCTGCCTGGCAAGCAGGTGGTTGTGAGTTCGATCCCTGGTACCGATAAAAATGAAAAATACAAAAAAAAAGAAGATAATATGTCCTGCTTCAAAGTTGGAATATTTTCAACATGCTAGAAATTACATTATTGAAACGGTTATATTTTTATGATGAGGAGTTTTAGATGCTTACTTTAAAATATGTTTTGGAGGATCTGGCAAATTCTAAGTCCTGAGTTTGATTCTCAGCACTCCCGCAAAAAAAAAAAAAAAAAAAAAAAAAAAAAAGAAAAAAAAGAATCATGGCTATAAGCTAAAAGGTTTCTGCACAGAAAAGGAAACCATCAGTCTATAGCCATAACATTCTGAACACGCCTGTCTCATCAAATCTCCAAAAGCAAAACAGGAAGCAATCAGTGGAGTAAAGAGGAAACCTACAGAATAGGAGAAAATATTTGTAAACCATTCATCCAACAAAGAATTATTATTGAAAATACATAACACCAGAGCCAGACATGGCGGCACACACCTGGAATGCCCACACTTAGGAGGCTGAGACAGGAGGACCACCAAGAGTTTGAGGCCAGCCTGGGCTTGACAGTGAGGCCCTGTCTCAAAAAACTAAGTAAATAATAAGGCCAAAATAAAGAATCACAGATATTCAGTGGATACACAGATCAAGAACATGTGGTACATATGTTCGAAATGAAACAGTCACGAGGAGGAACTAAATGTGCCCTTCATGGCAAGGCAGATGGAACTGGAGGGCCTGGTATGTGAAATAAGCAGGTACAGAGAGACAAATAGCACAGATTTTTACTCATGAAGACTTTTAAAAAAAAAAAAAGTTTATGGAAGTAGAGCATAGGCCGAACATGGTGGATCATGCCCGTAATCCCAGAACTGGGGAAGCTGAGGCAGGAGGATTGCCATGAGTTCGAGGCTACAGCAAGACTCTGTATCAAAAAAGAAAAAAACAAAACACCAAAACAAAACAAAGTTGAATACAGAAGAGAGTACACATTTTTTCAATATCATTACCCAGATTATAGGCACAGAAATTTTGGAGTGCTACTCTAAACAATCCAGGTGTCCTTTCTGCAGTTCTCAACAATCTCCCTTCCATCCGGGGTCCCATCTCACCTCGGCAGGAAAGAGGGTCACAGCTCCAGCCGCCCCTCCTCCTCCGGTGGTGTCCTCAGGAGCCAGTCCCTCACCTTCGCCCATGGCAGCAGCCACAGGAGCTTGAAGGCCGCCTCCAGCATCAGCAATGACAGGAAGAGGATCAGGAAGGTAAGGAAGATCCTATCCAAGGCGCGCCGCAGGGGCCCCCGTGGAGGAGTGGGACCCTGTGCGAATGCCAGGAACACATCATCCTCATCCATGTCGCCTCCCTCACCCAGGGCAGCAGATCAGCGGCCCTGGGATGGAATCCCTGGCTCAGCACCACCCGGATTAAGGGACACACCCACTGCGAGCCCTGCACCTGCAGATCTTGACCCTAATTCCTGGACCTGGGGGAAGGAGAAGGGCCTTACAGCCTTGGGAGCAATCACACAATTACCAGCAGGCAGGGAAGGGGCTGGGCCAAACGAGATACCCGACATAAACATAAACCGGAACCATCTAGCATCCTGAAACAAAGTCTCAGGCCCCTGCAGAAGATGGTCACCCAGAGGATGTGAGCCACTTCCGGCTTTGCAGGGGTGCCGGGGTGGGTCGCTTTCTCCTAACTCATCCTGTGGGGACCCTCTGGTGGAGGGAGGAGGGTTCATGTCACCAAGGCAACACCCCACCAGCTCTGGGGTGGCTGGAGTTGGGACAGGGCAGAGACACTGGAGACCGAGACTACTCCCTCCCTCAGGCCCTGGCAGTGCCAGTGAGGGTTACAACTGGGCTGCACGGACCCCGGAGAAGCCTATAAAAAAACCAAACACCGACCACAATGGGTCAGCCGACCAAGATGTGTAAGGGGGACCCAATTGTTGGGCAGCTAATTATAGAGAGGAGTGAAATTTCCTGATCTGAGGGGTGACATGGTGGAAGACAGAAGTCGTGGAGTCACCTGGTTTTATGCCAATGAAGAGGCATGGAGTCGCACCCCTGATGGCCAGCACACCAGAAAGACTAAGCAATTCCCTGGACTGGAGGCTAGAAGCTACTGTCCCACCACCAACTCCTGCAAAAGAAGGAGCAGCAGATCAAGCTCTGTTAAAACTTTTAGACCATGAAGTTTGAAGAGTTCTGGTTACGAGAAGCCTACCTTCAGGTTGGTGGGCAGATCCCAAATCCATTCCGTCAGAATTCCTGACCTGAGACCCTTCCGGACCTGGCCCTATCTCTCTCATGTGCCGTCTCTCTGTGTTAGAACACCCTTATGATAAATTGAGAAACCTGGTTCCTTGGGTCCTGAGAGCCACACCAGCAAATTAATTAGACTCAGAGAGAATTGTGGGAACCGGGTTAGCAGCTCTAGGATCAGAAGTGCAGGTGATGCCCAGGACCCCCCACCGGCTCTGGGGTAGACAGGTATCTTGTCGGAATGAGCTTGTGTCCTAGGCGATGTGATATTAACTGCATTGAGATAGGTCAGAATTGAGTTGAGCTGAGAGTGATGCCTCACACCTGTAACCCCAGCACATAGGAGGCTGAGGCAGGGGGATGGCGGTGAGCTCAAGGCCAGCCTGAACTACAGAGCAAGATCCTATCTCAAACAAACAAAAAAAGAAAGAAAAAGAAAAAGATTCAAGTTATTTTCATGCTTTCTAGTGTTATTTTTCTAATATTTAAATTATCTATTAAGACCAGACATGGTGGTCCATAGCTATAACCTCCACATGCAGGAGGCTGAGGCAGCCTGGGCTACAATGTGAGACCCTGTCTCAAAAAACCAAAACCAAACAAAAGATGCAAAAGTGATACACATTCAGCTGAAACCACACCCCAGCTTCTGCAGCTGGAGGGTTCCTGAGCTGGTGATATGTGGCCAGATGTCCCCTAAGAGAGCTCAGCAGTGGCAGCTCATGGGACCGCACAGCACCCTGTTGTCGGTGTCCTCGAGAGCTCGCTAAGGTCCCAGGTGAAGAATGAGGACAAGATAAAAAAATAAAGACAGAAACAGAAAGCTGTGGTCTTTCCTCTAGATGGGAGGAGACTGCTCAACCACTGCCTGTGCGTTTATTTACACACTTGGCACACTACACCTTTTTGCTTAGTCAGCTGGCTTCTCACACCCCCATGTGCCCTTTCTCTTAGCTGTATGGGTCAAATGCTGACACTGCTGAGCACTCTGAATCCAACTCCCAGGAACCACTTGTCTGGGGCTCCATTGTGGAGCAGGTGCCCTGGGGCTGTCTTCTCAAAGCAAAGTCTTTTTTGCAAAGTCACTTTTGCAGTCTTGAGGATGCAAAGGGTGGATCCTGCTGCTTCCTGTGATGCCCTCAGGCCATATTTTCTATTCTCATGTTCCTTCTCAGCAGTCAAGATTTCCCCTGCTCTCTTTGCAGTTTTATTGGCGCTTCCTTCCTGGCCAAATGCACAGTGTTTTTGAGCATTTTGCCGGCTCTTTGTTCTAGATTCTCAACATAGATCTGGTTAAAACCCCCAACAGTAGCCATACCATCCACTCAACATTAGAGTGCCTTGACATTTTTTCTACAAGATTAATTAGTCCAATGCCCTTAACCTTAGTTTCAGGCAAAGTCTCTGGACATGATCAGAATGCAAACCCCTGCCAAGCCATAACACACATGATCTGGAGTCCAGCAGCCAGTACAGTCCTTCTTCCCAGCAGAAACTCCTGAGCTCAGTCATTACTGGCTTTCTAGTCTTCTGAGCTCTGGCCAGAATCTCCCAGACAGAGCAGCCTCAGCCATCCCAGCCCTGCTTCTTCAGCTGGCATCTCCGAACTTTTCCAGTCTCTTCCCACAAGCCAGCCTCTGAGAGTGCTGAACCACATGGTCAGGTGCAGTCACAGCAAAGACCCCCCTTCTCTAGAATCAAATTCTGCCTTAATTATTTCCTTGTTGCTGAGACAAAGTACATAGCACCCACAGTTAAAGGAGGGAAGGTTTATTCTGCTCACAGTTTGCAGAGATTTCACTCCATAATGCATGGCTCTGAGGCAGCCTGGCTTTGTAGAGAACAGCTCCTGGTAGTCAGAAGGTAGCAAAACACACAAGAGGACTCCTACTTTTTTTTTCCCCCTTTCAGATCTATCCGGGTTTTTTTTGTTTTTGTTTTTGTTTTTTGTTTTTTTGTCTTTTTCCTTTTTATCGGTACCAGGGATTGAACCCACGACTGCCTGCTTGCAAGGCAGGCGCTTATGCTGCTAAGCTAAATCCCCAGCCCCCATTTTTTTTTTGTCCTTTTCATTTTTATCAGTACCAGGGATTGAACTCACAACCGTCTGCTTGCAAGGCAGGTGCTTATGCCGCTGAGCTGAATCCCCAGCCCCTGTATCCATTTTTTTTGAAACAGAGTCTCACTGTGCAGCTCATGATGGCCTTAGGCTCATTATGTAGCCCAATCTGACCTGGAGCTTGTAGTGATCCTCCTGCCTCAACCTCCCTAAGGTCGGGGTTACAAATATGTACCAACACATCAAGCTGCTGACAAATACATTCTTTCTTTGTGGGGAAAGGGGTAAGACACAGAGTCTTGTTATAACTCAGGTTCCGGTATAAAATCCAAGTAGGCAAGAGACCGAAAATTTAGGTAGCAAAGGCTCTATTTCCAGGCCTGGTGACAAGACTCCAGGAGCCAATTTGGAGACTGTGTCCCAGAGACTGAAGGGAGGACTTAAAAAGAGGCTGGAGGAAAAGGGTGGGGGGAGGAACAAAGAAACCTGCAGAGCCATCAAACTTGTTGACCCGAGTCTGGAAACTGTATTGCTGTCCACTTAGCTCTGACAATCTCAGGAGTTCCTGGTGTTTCTCAAATTACTCCCATCCTACAGACTGACCTTATCTCGGAGTGGCACATCTGCAGCAATATTTGGAGAAGAAAGTGGACAGTTAACTATCCCAGGACAGCTCGTTTTCGCTAGTGGGTGCGAAGGGGTCAAGAGTTACAAGAAGCTGAAACTTAAGTTTTACAAAGATCTGATATCTAACTCATTTGATGCATACAGAACAAAAGAAAAGCACCGATTGGGGTTTGGGCCATAGTATTTCCCAGTAATTTCTTTGAAGCTAAACAGTTCTTAAAATTGGGGCAGGCTCATTTTATGACAGATCATCACCGGGTCGGGAAGAGGTCACCAGAAACCCAAACTCTTTATGGCTTAGATAGATAGGTGAGGGGAGAGGGAGGCAATAAGGCGCCATACAGAACAGAAAACGGTGGTTATGTGTCAAGGTCAGGTAAAGGGTTAAACTCATACACAAATCTCTCTGCACACAAGCAGGTTACTTTAAACAAGTGTAAATTAATGGGCCATTCTAGTTTTCTTTAGCTCTTTAGCAGAGAATAGAGGCGTCTAACAGTGATTAACAACCCTTGTTAGCTTGTTTTAGCACAACTTCTGTAGTTTGTAGAGGGCAACAATGGTTAACATATCAATTAGTTGAGATTCTTGCAATTCTTTACAGAGGAGAGTATTGCTCAACATATCAATTAGGTCACTTAACATATCAGTTAGGGAAAAAGGATAAAAAAAAAAACACATTTAGTAAGCCACGTTGCAGGTTTGCTATAATACACATATAATGAAGCTATTTTCTTAGAGTACAACAAGTCTCGCTATGTATTTTAGGCTGGTTTTGTGTAGCCCAGGCTGGCCTGGAACTTGCAGCATCCACCTGCCTCTGCCTGGGATTACAGCCATGTGCCACCAAGCCAGGCTACAGAGGAATAGTGTGCTGAAACCTGCTTGAGTGAGCCAGGCATGGTGGCTCATCCTGTAATCCCAACACTTGGGAGCCTGAGGCAGAAGGATCCTTGTGAGTTTCAGACCAGCCTGGACTACAAAGTGAGCTCAAGCCCAGCCTGAACTGAATGGAGAGACCCTGTCTCACAAAGACAAAAAAAAGAGAAAGAAACCTGCTTAAGTGCCCTGGAAGAGAGGTGAAGCCAGGACTCTTGATTGGTTCCAGGCAGAGGGCTTTAGGATCTGTTCTGCACGTGTCCTGGAATTTTGTACTCCACGGACCACGCCCACTTCTGCTGGGGGTTTGCAACACCCTAACTCCGCCCCTATCCGCCACCGCAAGACCTTGTTGCAAAACAAAAATAAATGAAATGAAGTAGAATCAAGTAGCTGGGGATGTAGCTTAATACAGCCTTGGATTCAGACTCTAGTAGTGTAAAACAAAAACCGGAATGATATTTCTTTAGAAGGTCTTTGGAGCACAGCAGTGTTAAGTGCTTGCATTTTTCTCTCAGGCTGGAGGATCTCTGTGGCTGAGCCGTGTGAGACCCTGGATTCAGCCCCAGCACAGATTTTCTTCCCCACTGAATTGTTACTAACAGTACATGGTGCACAGAAACAACCTTATAAATGTTAGTTATTTACCAAAAAAAGTTACAGTTATTAAACATT